CTGCTGCCTGCCTCTAGGCCCCCACACTCAAGCCTGACTTACACCTAGTTTCTGCTTCCATACCTAAAGGGCACTCCTAGAGGAAAGGATTTATTCAATTCATTTGAACATCCCTAGTGGTAGGCAGACAGTGAGAATTGGCAGACACTTTCTGAATTGTTGCTGGCCAGTTGGCAGGATATACAGCCAGACAGCAAAGGAAAGGGAGTTGGGGCCATTAGTCACCTTTATCATCCAGGGAGGAGATGCTGGACATGGAACCAGAGGCACCCCAAGGAAGACAGGCATGATGTGTGGCTTTGCCCCTGAGTCCGGTAAACCTGATATGCAAAATTGGGACCCAAGAACCAGAACAGAATGATGTCTCACTTCTCTACAGATATAAACGTTTTCTAAAGAACTTAAATCACAAGAGCCACAAATGCTTTGGTTCTGGTCCTCAAGAGCCAATTCAGTACTCTCCACAACTAGCCCTTTTTCTGGTTACCATTCCTACTGAGGCCATCCCACCAGTCACCCTGCTGCCCAGGGAACCATCAGAAGCAGTGAGTAACCAGCTCTACTCAGGGAGCCCAGAGAAGTATCGCTAGAGAGACTCCAGGTTGATCAGGGGCTCAGGGCCTTGGCCACCAAGTAAACACTGGGGAGGAGACAGCACTCTATTTAGGATGACAAAGGCAGAGAACAAGAGAGGTGTATCATGTCTGGTATGAGTGCCTTGGCTGAGGCATTAAGGGGGTGGCACACCACTGTGCTCCCCAGCCCGGTTTCACACGGAGACCTGACAGAGCTCACAAGACAACGGCCCTGGACACTTTTGCCTTCGTGGGCCCCTTTCACCATAAAACATTATTAAGAATCATACTTTTCAACTGCAATAGTATAAAGATGAATAAATTTTAATGTGTCTAACATTTCTTTCACCCAATCGGTCAGGGTTTTTTCCTTGCTGATTTTAAAAGACCACTAAAAGCACTCACTGTGGGCCCTGGGCACCAGGCCTTCTGTACCTGATGGATAAATCTGCCCTGCAATTTGGGGATTTGATTTTTCTGTTGCGTTCAATGGAGGGGATACACAAGAGAGAGAGATGAAAATTGTCCTGGACTTTCTGGCTGCCATGATAATGATTCCCCACCACAAGCTTACTTATAAAAACACAAGCTCCAAAGGGAGTTCCAAAAGCATTTAATCATCACATACAAGGTACACTCCTAAATGCCTGGCACCGTCCAAGTTCCGACGGCGGAGACCCGGCTGCGGCACCAGTCTCTGCCCCAGGAAGCTAGCTTGCTTTCTGAGTGCGATGCTTGGCGGACTCAGGACTTCCTAGGGCCGGTCTCTCAGCTGAGTAGTTTTCAGCTATAACACCTCACTGAATGACAATAAGCGACACGGCTACCACTTTCCAGCCAAGGAATTTCCAGGGCTGAGGCGCTGGCACCAAATCACTGCTGAAGGATAACATGGAAAACCAAGTGCCTCCACGAGCTGCCTGCTCTCTCGACCCCAGCACTCCAGCCTGACCCTAGCCGCTGAGCAATGAGGGCGCGCCCCAGGGACGCAGCTCCTGCGCCAGTGAACATCCCAGGCCCCAGAAGTTAGGTTGGGCCCCGCACATCACTCTCGCTTCGGTCAATCTCAAAGCACGCCACGCTCCACGGACACGGATCCAAAGGTAACATTCCCTCGAGAACAAAGTTCCATGATGTACGAAGCGATCGGAGCCCAGGTAAACTCTCGGCACGGTCCCGGGCGAGGGGCACGGTCCCGGGCAGGGGGGCGCGGCGGCCCGCGGGCAGGCCCCGGAGGCGCCCTACCAGGGCCCCGTCCGGTGGAGGGAGGTCCCGGACGACCCCGGCCCCGCACACCGCCCGCCCTGCTCCGCCCCGCCCCCACACACCGCCCCCACCGCGCCGCGCCCACCGCGCCGCGCACCTGGCCGCAGCGGCTCGGTGACGGTGAGCACGAGCAGGAAGAGCAGCAAGAAGGCACCGCTGTCTGCCTTGGGCACCATTTATCCTCCGTTCATCGTCCCCCGGGCGGCCGCGTAACCCCGCGGGGAGGCTGGACCGGGCCGGGCTGAGGGTCAGGGGACCGAGCCGGGCTGAGGGTCAGGGGACCGAGCCGGGCTGAGGGTCAGGGGCCCGGGCCAGGCTGAGGGTTAGGGGCCAGGCGCGGAAAAGCAGCGGGAGAAGGCTCCGGCTAAGCCGCGGCTACACTGGGCCGCCAGCTAGCGCGCACTCTCGGCCTCAGTCTCGGGTTCCGGCTCCGGCTCCGCGCAAGATGGCGGCCGTCCTGCTCGGCTCCGCGCCGCCCCCCGCCCGCGCCGCCGGCTCCGGCCAATGAGTGCCGGGGCAGGGGGCGGGGCCTTCACTCTCCCAATGCGTGCAGACCCTTGGCTGTGTAGGGGGCGGAGCCTGGGCGGTTGTACCCGAAAGGGGCGAGGCCTAAGGTTGAGACGGTGGGGGGGGGGGCGGGAACTGAGAGGCGGGATCGGCGGGTGGGCGGGACTATAAGGAGTGAAGTGTGCTATTGGTTATGCAGAGAGGTGGGGCCCGGGGGTGGGGCCTGGGTGGCGGGGCCTGCAAAGGGCCAGGATACTAGCTCTGGACGCGCTGGGCAAGGGCAGTGGGGGAGGGGTAACAGGGCCAAGCTGACGGACACAGACAGGGGCGGGCGCAGCGGGGTGGATGAGGTAGGGAGCAGAGGAGCGGGAAGTGGCCCTGGAGGGCTGAGCGTGAAGGAAGAGGGGAGCGACAAGGAGCCGAAGTGGTCCCGGGTGAAGAGTGGGTCTTCACACCTTGCATACCTGCAGGCCCAGGTCCTGTCCGCGGCCCAACAGTACTCCCTACAGTGGTCTTTTAAAATCAGAACCGCTGCGGAAAAGAGATAAGGAAAACTGGAGGGACTCAGACAAGCTTTGAGGAAGTGGGAAGCTGGGGGAATGGAGGTGCCACCCTGTAAGGAACCAGCCCACACTACGGGAAATGTTTCAAATGAAGAAATAGCCTAAAGGAGTGTCCTACAAGGAGCTCTGACAAGGAAACCCAGATCCTAGACTGTGGAGCAAAGCTGGCCTCTGGAGGAAGAAGACTGTGCCTACACAACGTGGGAGGCGGCGGGGAGGAATGCTGGGCACAGCTGCTGCCACAGCAGGCCACGTCTGCATAGAGGAAAGGCTCAGGAGACCATCCCACTGCTGCCCTCACACCTGTCAGGGAACAGAGTGACTGTGGAAGAGGGCACAGCAGATGGATTGTCCTCAGTAGGAGAGGAGCAGGGTGTCCAATGGAAGGACCACAAGGCCTGGCATAGGGTGTAGGGCTGGGGAAGAGGGTGAAGATGGGAGCAGAAAAAAAGGGAGACCCATTTTAGCCTGGCTCACCTCCATCCCCACCAACTTACTCCTCAGGAGCAGTCCTCTCAGGCCCTTTCAAGGCACGATCCTCCTGAATATCCTAGGATTCCAGCCTATGACACTCAGGATCACTAAGAGAGGTACCCACTCCCTCTGAGTGGATATGGCGAAGGTTAAACCGAAGGCTAGGCCGGACCTCCCTGCTCCTGCTCTCTCTGGGTGTAGCCTGTATCAGATGCTAGACAAAGAGTCTGTCACAGCAGAGGGGCCCCACTGGTGTCAGAAGCAGTGGTCCCTATCCAACACTGCCCTGGCTGCTTGCATTGTCCTCATGAAGCATTCCCAGGAGCGATTCAGGCGCAGCTTTCAATCTGCCGTGGGAGTTCCGCCACGGTTACAGGCGAGGCCGACCCCAGGGAGGCAACTCACAGCTAAGAGCAGATATCCCAGCCAGTTGTTCCCTTGCAGAGCCACTGTTGGAGACGCAGGCCAGCAAAGGTTCCGATGAGAGTAGGACAGGGAGGTGAAAAGGCCAAATGATGCAGGGAGAAGGCAGAGCCCTGGCCTCTGAAACCGTAGTCACCTTGCAGGAGTTTTGCCCATCTTGATCCACCTGTACCCTTGGCCCTGCTGTGTGGCCTGCAGGTTGCCTGTGTGGACACCACCAAGGGCTTCCAGGACCGAAGGGAGGGAAAAGAGATCAGGGATATTTTTCCCTAGCTCCCTCCCTTTGGGGTCACTGCAGCTTCTACCAGAGGTCACTGCGTCTCTCAAGGTCGTCCTCTACTCTCTTCCCAGGTTCCAGTGACCCACCTTTCCTTCTTCCAGGGGTCTGTTGCAACCCTTGGGGTACCCTACACTCAGCTCCCACCTTTGAAAGTAAGATGATTTTTTTTTTTTTACAAATAGTTTGTCAAATTAGTTTCCACATAACACTCAGTGCTCATCCCCACAAGTGTCCTCCTCCATGCGCATCCCCCCTCCCCCCCACATCCATCAGTCCTCAGTTTTTGTCAGCATTCAAGAGTCTCATGGTTTGCCTCTCTCCCTTTCCCCCACCATTTCCCCCCTTCTTCTCCCCCTTGGTCCTCCGTCAAGTTCCTCCTAATCCTCCTATACGTGCAAACATATATTTGTCCTTCTCCGCCTGACTTATTTCGCTCAGCATAACACCCTCAAGGTCCATCCATGTTGCTACACATGGCCAGATTTCATTGTTTCTCATTGCCATGTAGTATTCCATGGTATAGATAAACCACAGAAAGTAAGATGAATTTATTAAACTCTTCAGACTGCCCTTAACTTGAGTACGTCTTTAGTTTCCCTCCTGAGACTCAGACGAATAGGACCATTTGTCTTGGATTCCCTGGGATGCCCCATGCTGCAGCAATCAGCCCCACAAGCAGATCTGGCTCCTGGTTTAGAAACACCCGCACACTGATGTGTTCACAGCCCTCTCGTACCTCGGGTCCCAGCCAAGTGCAAGACCACTCTCCTCTGGTCTGCTTCAGCCCCCTCGCTGGCCTTCCAGGGTTCCAAGTCCAAATGGCTCAGGCCAGAGCCTCATTCCCCCAGGGCACTCCTCCTTTATGACTTCACCCACTGAAGTCACCTGGGAGACAATGCTGAACATTCCACCCCAGAGTCTTGGCCTCTAGGAGGCAGGGACAGCAGGCCCGGCCAGCCCAGAGGACCCTCTGTCCACAGTGTAAATGAGGACGGCGCTGGCCCATGTCCCGCAGGGATGTAGAGGGCAGCCTCAGAGGCACTGGGCGCTCCCGGCACCATGGATGACGCTGCCATCCTCAAGCGACGAGGCTACATCATGGGGATAAATTTGGGAGAGGGCTCGTACGCAAAAGTCAAATCCGCTTACTCTGAGCGCCTGAAGTTCAACGTGGCGGTCAAGATCATCGACCGCAAGAAAGCCCCCACGGACTTCTTGGAGAAATTCCTTCCCCGGGAAATTGAGATTCTGGCCATGCTAAACCACCGCTCCATCGTCAAGACCTACGAGATCTTTGAGACATCAGACGGCAAGGTCTACATCGTCATGGAGCTCGGGGTCCAGGGCGACCTCCTCGAGTTCATCAAAACCCGGGGAGCCCTGCATGAGGATGATGCTCGCAAGAAGTTCCACCAGCTCTCCTCAGCCATCAAGTACTGCCATGACCTGGACGTCGTCCACCGAGATCTCAAGTGTGAGAACCTCCTCCTTGACAAGGACTTCAACATCAAGCTCTCTGACTTCGGCTTCTCCAAGCGCTGCCCGAGGGATGACAGTGGCCGGCTGACACTAAGCAAGACTTTCTGCGGGTCGGCGGCTTATGCAGCACCTGAGGTGCTGCAGGGCATCCCCTACCAGCCCAAGGTGTACGACATCTGGAGCCTGGGTGTGATCCTCTACATCATGGTCTGTGGCTCCATGCCTTATGATGACTCCAACATCAAGAAGATGCTACGCATCCAGAAGGAGCACCGTGTCAACTTCCCCCGCTCCAAGCACCTGACGGGTGAGTGCAAAGACCTCATCTACCGCATGCTACAGCCGGATGTCAGCCGGAGGCTGCACATTGATGAAATCCTCAGCCACTGCTGGGTGCAGCCCAAGCCACGGGGCCCGTCCTCTGGAGCCATCAACAAGGACGGGGAGAGCTCCCGGGGCGCTGAGACCTCGTGGACCCCTGAGACCCCTGAGAAGAAGTCCGCCACTAAGGTGGAACTCCGGGAGGAGGCACAGCCCGAGACACAGCCTGAGATCCGGTCGGAGGCAAAACCCAATGAGGAGACATTGCAAGTGCAGGTGTCAAAGCAGTTGGATCCCAACGAGCTGCCTAGCAGGGAGACAGAGGAGGGGGCTCCCTCACAGCCTCCAGAGCCACACACCTAGCGAGCCTCTCTCAGCCCAGGGGGCTGGCAGGGAATGATGCAGAGCTCATGCCTTTGAGCCTGAGCTCCAAAGAAGCCAAGGGACAAACCAAAGAGGGAAAACTGTCCTGGATGAGCCACTATTTTCGTCAATTTCTTCTCCTTCCCTTTGAACTTGGTAACCCACATGGCTAAAGAAACAATAAATCACTATATTAGTGCAGACCCCAAAGTGAATGTCTTTGCCCTGGCTGACTGTGGTCATCCAGGGAGAGGATCCTGCCTTCCCCCTCAGCTCCCCACTCTCAGATCACACGGCATTTCACCTCCAGTTTGGGAAAATAAATCCCAGTGTGCCCAGCCCTACCTGTGACCTCAGGCCCTGGACCAGAGCAGAGAGCTGAGCAAGGAAGATGCTACTTCAAGAGGGAGGCCATGAGTGCAGTGCTGAGGAAGGGGAGAGGGCACGGAGAGGACAGGATCCAGAAGGGCAAGGTGGCTGCCTGCGGCAGAGGGGCAGGAGGCAGGGGGCTCTGTCTGTAGCCCCACCTCAATTATGCTGGTTGGGGAGGTGCCCTGCAGGGAGAGGTGAACCAGCCTCTCAACCCCTGTTAACCTCTCCACCCTGCTAGGCAACTCGTTTCTTCTGCTCTATCTACTAGGGGTTTCCCCATAGCCAACCAGCACCTAGTTCTGGACATGCCCTGAGCCATCCGCCCCTGGTCATTCTCCCTGCCCAGAAGAAGTAGTGGAGAGTGGGATGCCAGATGGCCTCATGCCACCCAGCCTGCATGTCCCATAGTCACTGTGTTGCCTTGACTACATCCCTTTCCCTTCTAGTCCCAGTCTGTCCCCAGGGGTGATGCTCCATGCCAGAGTGGATAAGCAGACATTGGCAAGGAGAGAGGACAGGTGTGATCACAATGCAGGCCTGTCTCCTATGGCCATAGGTGTCCCGTAGAGGGAGGAGACCAGCGTTTAGCACTGCTGGCTACTGTGTCCTGTGCTGTCCACCCATGTCATTCTCACACTGTTCTCACCTCAGCCACAGCAGCCCCTTTCTCTTCCTGCTCTGCACTCACTCTGGACAACCTCATGTGGATCTGTGGGTTTGGCACATCAAAAGGACAAGAGCCTTTAGACTTACCCCTCCCCTGCCTATGTCATCGTCCTGGAAAGACTCCAACCCCAGGCCCTGGGAGAAGTGAGATCCAGTGAGTGCCCTGGCCCTGCTCTCTTTGCAGCCCTCCCCACATCCACTCCATCTCTCCTCTCAGCTCCCCCACCCCCCAGCCACCTTCACACATTCTGCCTTCCTATCTCCATGCTCCTGTGTATCATGAACACACAGCTCAGCTACCTCTACCTGCTCCATCACTTCTCCAGTGGCCAGAGCTGCCTCCTGCACATGGTCTGGATCCCACTGCCCTTGGGAAGGATCCCAGTGCTTGGCCTTGGCATCCCAGGCTTCTCTTGACCTCCCAGCCCCCTCCCTCATGCTCACACCCCACAACACACACGTGCTGTAATCATGCTTGTAGATGCATCCCTGCAGACCTTGCCCATGTCTCCAGGATCAGCCGAGGGGGCTTGGCCTCCACAAAGCTTTCTGGGCTTGACAGCTCCACTCTAAGCTCTGCTGGGGTAGGCCTGTGAGTACCAGGGTCCAGGCACAGAACAGGCCCTGGGTAATACCAGAGGAAGCACCCCATTTTCTCCAGAGGCCCAGAAACCCAGATCATACAGCTTATCTGGTGGTGGAGTAAAATTCCAGAGTACATGGGGCTCACTGGAGTGGGAACCTCTGCTTGGTCATCTGTGGCCACATCGAGGCAGGGCACAATATTCAGCAAGAGGACCTGGGAGCAACTCACTACAGCCTAGCCACAGGACAAGCCTGGGCAGGACGGGCCCCAGGAAGGAGCATCTACTGTGTGCTTTACAAGGGGGAAGACAGCTCAGAGAGGGTGGGCGACTACCTAAAATCACACAGCACAGAGTGGCAGCCCAGGTAACTGAAGCTCACCCCTTCCCGGGGGGCCTCACATTCTTGGTCACTCCTGTGAGCTGCTCAACTGACTTGGGTCAGACCCCATCAGTGACCCTCCACAAGGCTTTACGTTCAAGACTTTCACCATGGCCTCCATGGCCTGTGGTGCTCCCTCCTGCCTCTGCACACTCCCATCACACTGTGTCCCTTCAAGCCATCACATACTCTAGCACATCCTTGTCCTCCCCCATGTGACTACCTCCTCAGACCTCAGCCCTCCCACCCTCCCCACATCCAGCCCGTTTTTCCCTTATAGCCCCATGTTCCCTTGTCACGGCACAGCCACCACTGGGCACTCATGCTGTTGGGTGTGACACTGAAGCTCCCTGTCCTCTGGGCTTCAGGAGAGCATGGGTCCTGTCTAGTTCATCAGCGAACTCCAGCAAATGGAACCAGCCCTCAAATGCCAATGGAGTGAGTGGAGAAACAGAGGAAACAAGGAAATCAGGGGGAAGTGGCCTCCCCAGTCTCCAGGTCTCACATGCACGGGGCTGCGGGCTGGGAGATACCCCTGGAGGCCCCAGGTCCAATCTAGCACTTCCCATTCCCTTCCCATGCCTGCCCGTGTGCATGTGCTGGCTGAAGGCACCTGCTTGCCGCTGTGGCAGCCCAGCTTGTGCCACCTCCTCCACGTCCCCAAGAACCGCAGAAGCCATGCTGTCCTGGGCAAAGACAGAGTGTGAGGGAGCAGGATCCACAAAAAAAGGAAAAGCAAGTGGGTTGGTGGAGTCAGCCAAAAAGGCAGATGTGCAGGGGGGACCCCAGATAGCACGTTTGGGAGTGCAGGAGAAAGGCCGGGGAGACTGTCATGCTCCTGGGTCCTGGCCTGCAAATCCTCACAGCCAGCCTATTCTGGGATGCAAAGGAGTGACCAAAGACATCCCAGGAGAAAGCAGGCATCAAGCTAAAGCAACAGGAACTCCAAAGAGATGGGAGCAGGCTGCTGGGAGCCCATGGCAGTTGGAGGGCACTCACTCCTAATGGCATCAGGACTCTGGCTGCCCCGCCCCTGAGATCTTCCACATGAACCTCAGTGAGCTCCCCACGTGCCCCAAGTATGTCCACATGGCTGTGCTCGGGCCAAGATGGCACTTCTGCCTGGCACATCCTACCCCTCATCAACCTGGCGGGGCCCTATAGATCGTCTGCATGCTGGCTCCTTCATCACCTCCCCTCCCAACCACCCACATAGAGGCAGGCCTCCTCTTCCGCCCCCCTGAACACTGAGCACGTGGCACCCCCACCCTAGCAACCAGCTATGTGTGGGCATGGGATGCCTGTGATGGAGAGCAGATAAGCAGCAGGGCTTCCAAAGTACCCCGAGGAGACACACGTAGGATGCCCCAATTCCCAAAGCAAACACAAAAGGGTTTTCACATTGCTTTTAGGTGCAGAAAACAGCTTCAGAGATGCAAACAGTGCTATGTCAGGGTTCCACAGCATGCCCACTCCTCACAAATTCAGGAACCCCCGCTCATGCAGGTGCCTACTCTTATCAGGACCCCCAGCAGCAAATCTCCACCCAAGGCCCTGCCCACTGACTGGCGAGTGCACCAGATCCTCTGTCTCTTTCTGGCTCTCAGTCCCCACAGGCTCACTCTGGTCCAGCCTCCTGTCTGGATCAAAGGCATTGGCCTCCACTTAACCTGAAGACCATTCTCTACGCACTCTGACAATGACCATCCTAAAATGTGACTTGGGTCATGGCTCTTCTGGCCGCAGGCCCTGCAATGACAACACGCCACTCAAGGGAAAGCGGCCACTTCCCTTCTCCACCTCACTCCAGACTGTGGGACTCAGCCATTCTCAGAACAAGCCCTCACCTCTCCCAGGCTCTTGCCTGCCTGGATGCCTCACCACCTCCCTCTACCTGCTCGAGGCCCGGCCCATCCTCCAGGCAGGCCCCAGCCCTCGGAAAATGGATTTGTCAGTCTGGGGCCCAGAGCTCTGCCTGCCTCCCACCCCCCACACATGCTCTGCTCACCACAATAGCACTCTTCTCCCCAGCCTTCTACCCAAAACAGGAACTGCTCTCATTCATAAGGCTGGGGACAGCTGCCAGCCTGGCCAGACCAGAGCCGTCCCTCCCAGGCGCCACCGATTCCAAGGACACCAGCCCTAGAGAGGGTTTTCTTCATACCCCAAAAAAGCTGCAGGAAATCGGCCCTAGTGAGGCATGGACCAATGCAGGGTCAGTCCCCACAGCCAGATGGAAGTGGGCATGGGGCTGGTACTCTGGCTTGGCCTGGGTGGCCTTCCCTTGGGCCTGACTCATGACAAGGAAGCCACAGTGAAGAGGAGCAGGGAGGGTTACCACAGTCCTGGGTGCTGACTTCTGTCCAGTGGGCGGGGAGCAGGCACTCCTGCTGGGCCAGCCTGGCTTCCAGGATTCCAGGGGCCCCGTTTCCCCCAGCTCAGTCCCCACTCCTGGCAGCCTGGCTTTATGACTTCACATGCTGAAGTCACGCAGAGACAATGCTGAGCGTTCCACCCCTCCAAGTCCAGGCCCAGCCCAGCCAGACGGCTCCCCACAGTGTAAATGAGGACAATGCCCGCTGGCCCAAGTGGGGAGGGGATGTAGAGCACAGCGGCGCCAGCCGCACCTGGCACCATGGATGATGCCGCAGTCCTAAGGAAGAAAGGTTACATCGTGGGCATCAATCTTGGCAAGGGCTCATATGCAAAAGTTAAATCTGCCTACTCTGAGCGGCTCAAATTCAACGTGGCGGTCAAGATCATCGACCGCAAGAAGACGCCCACCGACTTCGTGGAGAGATTCCTTCCTCGGGAGATGGACATCCTGGCAACCGTCAACCATCGCTCCATCATCAAGACCTATGAGATCTTTGAGACCTCTGATGGCCGCATCTACATTGTCATGGAGCTCGGGGTCCAGGGTGACCTCCTCGAGTTCATCAAGTGTCGGGGAGCGCTGCACGAGGACGTGGCTCGTAAGATGTTCCGCCAGCTCTCCTCGGCTGTCAAGTACTGCCACGACCTGGACGTTGTCCACAGAGATCTCAAGTGCGAGAACCTCCTCCTCGACAAGGACTTTAACATCAAGCTCTCTGACTTCGGCTTCTCCAAGCGCTGCCTGCGGGACGGCAGTGGCCGCATCATCCTCAGCAAGACCTTCTGCGGGTCGGCGGCTTATGCAGCACCTGAGGTGCTGCAG